GGGGAGTTGCTTCGGCTGCAAGGCCCTGGCGCCGGTCAGCGAGGTCCCGGTCTCATTGCAGCCGAAGCAACTCCCCGAGAAGTGGCAGCACGACCTCTTCGACAGCGGCTTCGGGGCCGGGGCCGGCGTGGAGACCGGCGGGAAGCTGCTCGTCTCCAACCTGGACTTCGGCGTTTCGGATGCGGACATCCAGGTGGGGCTCGGGGCCTCGGTCACTGCGCCCAGGTCGGGTCCCCGCGGGAACTCCGCCGGCCCTACTCCGGCTTGCGCTCGGGGCCGAGCACTCCCGGGCGAATCCCTAGTGATGGGGTTTGTACTACTTGTGCCTGCTTTGCCGCGATCGTGATGGTCTCGAGGGGGCTGGAAAATTCGGTTTACACGTGATTTGTAAGTGACTCCTGTGTTGCACGGGGAAAGGTATCGATGCTGTGATTCTGCTGGATCACGTTGTGATTGTGATTGGAGAATTCACTGTGAACTCTGAGCTCCTGCTCTGCACAGCTGTAGCTATCCCTAACGGTGCCGTGGGCTTTGGTGCTTTGTCAAATCATTCTGTTGGGTGTCAGGGGGTTCCCAAGGATGCACCCATCAGTGTAACCAGGTAGTTATTTGTCATGGGAGCAGCTCCCCTGTACTGCTGCCTCGGTATCCTGTCCTCCACCTGTCATGGCTCTGCCCCGTTTGGGCTGACCCCTCAGTGCCTGCAGTCAGCTGCTCGGTGCATCTGCCTCGGGGCTGGAGACTGAGGGGTCATAGGGCCATGAGTGGGCTGTGAGCTGTGCAGAAATTCAGTGCCACCTGTGTCCCTGGCGGGGGTTCCTGCACCACAGAGTGCTGCCATCACCCTGGCCTCTGGCTCTCATGTCCTCACCAGAGAAAACCAAACCACTGCTGTCAGACTTTCCTCATCAGTTTGTTTGTCTCAGCCTCTCCACGCACCAATCTGGCTGCGCCTGGGGAACTGGAAAAGAGATCTGTCAGGTCACCTACTCACTGGGTAGTGTGCTGCACATCACCTCTTTTCCTCATGTAAGTTCAGACTGGGTTTAAATAAGTTCCTGTTTGTTGCAGTGAGGCTGCTGTAAAACTCGGCCCCTGTGCCTTGTGTGTAGTCAGCACTCACCTTCCTGCTGCTGCACAAGCTCCCAATGGGGTTTGTTTAGCAGCAGGGCTGACTCAATGCCTTTGGCCCCCAGCCCCATAATTTAGTGTTGCCTCAGATGTGGGGCTGGTTTTGTTCCTGGGCAAATGCCTCTTCGTATGGTGCGAGAGGCCGAAGGCGCTCTGGGCACGAAGGAGCTATGCAGTGTTGCTCTTTGTGTCCTCTGAGGCAGGAGCAGCTGACCCTGGGCTCTGGGCAGAGCTGGCACAGCCTTGCATGCCACATTCTGTCTGGAAAGCATTTGCCAGGGGCTCTTTGCAGTTCTCGGAGCTCCAACAGCCCTGCTGAGAGCCCTGTTGTGACTCAGGAACAGGTTCACTCAGGCAGTGCAGTAGCCTTGTTGGCTTCCCAAATGTAGTGCCTGAGAAACAAAATCGGTGGCTCTGTTGCTGCCTCTTTATTTCCAGCCTTTGTGGTAGCAAAGGACAGACCTCAGCAGAGGACTTGGTCTCCATTTTTGCCTACTATGTTCCTAATGGGCACAAGTCCAGCACAGTAAAAGTGTCATCTTGTGGATCCTTGCACTCACATGGTCATTATCTTCTGTGGGAAAGGTGTATGGGGTCTGGAGTATTTCCAATAGTTGTCGCTTTGACTCATTTTCAACAAAAGACCCCCAGTTCTGGGGAAAAAAACCAGCTCAGCATCCCTTTAATCTGCTTTGGTGTCTGTAAGTGTGCCTCCTGCAGGACATGAATGCAGAGTCCTGCTTGGTTTTGCCACTTGTGACAACTCCCTGAAATCTTCCTGATGGGTTGTGCTCCCCTCTGCCATTGGGTCTTTTTCCAGGTTGTCCGTGGTGGTTGGACAAGCACTGATGCTGCCAAGTGTGTCTGAGTGGGGCGCTGCAGTGTTTGCAGCATCGATGGATGGGCATGCTCCTTTCCCTCTCATTCTCAGGAGCTCTTTGCGGAGTTTGGGACCTTGAAGAAGGCAGCTGTGCACTATGACAGATCTGGTCGCAGTCTAGGAACGGCAGACGTGCATTTCGAGAGAAAGGCTGATGCGCTGAAGGCGATGAAGCAGTACAACGGGGTCCCCTTGGATGGTGAGTCTGCGTGGCCCATCTCCACAGCCTGTTTCCATAGCTGGAGTGGAGCACCCTGCACATCCGTGTCCCTCCCCATGTCCCTCTTGCACGCCCGTGTTGCTGCCTCCCGCCGGGGGTCCCGCGGACTCAGGCTGCTCTCCCTTCCCTCAGGGCGCCCCATGAACATCCAGCTGGTGACGTCACAGATCGACACGCAGCGGAGACCAGCACAGAGGTGGGGGAACCCCGACCTGAGCAGTGGGGTGGGAAGGTGTAGGACCCCTCCCTGGTGGGGAATGTGGGTCCTGTTTGGGTTCACTGAAGGTACTAAAACAGTTGCTTTTAAAACTTACAGTGTAAACAGAGGTGGCATGACCAGAAACCGCGGGGTCTCGGGGGGATTTGGAGGTGGAGGCAACAGGCGAGGGACTCGTGGTGGGAACAGAGGGAGAGGCAGAGGAGCTGGAAGAACTTCCAAACAGCAGCTCTCTGCAGAAGAACTAGATGCACAGCTGGATGCTTACAATGCCAGGGTAAGTGCTGCTTGGGCATGGTCATGGGCTCCCCACAGCATCTCATCCTGGAAAGCACTGGCAGTCTGGAACTGGCAGGAGAGGGAAAGCATTTTCCAGGTCCTTGGACTGAAGCAGTCTCTCTCTGAAGCTGAGCAGTGCCCTGGCTTGGGCCCCAGCTTTGCTTTCCAGACACTTTGTCACCTGTTCTTAATGGCTGAGGAGCAGCCTCCACTCTTGCCAGGCTCTGAGGCTGGAACAGCCACTGCGAGCAGCAGCTGCAGAACAAAACTCACAGAGCTGATAGGTTGCAGGAATGAGGAAACAGAAAGGGAAGGCTGCAGAAATGAGAAAACAGAAAGGGAAGTCTTGTGGAAGAACTGTGTGGTGTGCTGCTGGGGGAAGGGTGTAATGTTGGTGGCAGAAATGAGCCCCATCCTGGGGAGCCATGGGCAGGTTGCAGCTGTACGTGGAACTTGCTCGGCCTGTGCTGTAGCTGGGTCGGGATCCCAACAAAACTGAGGCCACAAGGACACCATGACAGCGGAGTTGGTGGTTCAGGACTGGGATACATCAGGGCAAGAGTGTGGAAGAAATGGGATGAGCAGGATTCTAGAAGAAGCCTTGGGGCAGTGTAGGGGTGTGGTCTGCTGTCCTGCTCAGCACAGTGTGCTGTGGCTTGGACCTGCCTGTCCCTGTCCCCCAGTGCTTGGGAGCTCATCAGGGCCAGGCTGCCTGCAATGAAGTGGGTGGGTTTGGGTGCAGGGGGGTGCTGCAAGGTGCCAGGGCTGCTGTGAGGCACATGGTGACACTTCCTCCCTTCTCTTCCAGATGGACACCAGCTAAAGCGGCAGCAGTGGACACAGGGAAGGACTCCAGTCTTGCTCCACACTCCCGGCAGGGGCTGCAGCTGTGGCTACTACTACCGAGGATGGGATTTGTTTTACTTTTACGTTCTGGGATAGGTTTTAACTCCTGTAAAGGTTTTTTTTAATTCTCAGCAGACCTGTTTTGTACCGAGTTATTTTTGGGATAAATTTTTCTGGTTGCCTGTTGGGCCAAGGTGGCTTTTTCACCTTTGCCGTAATAAAATAGAACCATGTCTAGAGCTGTGGCTGGTGCCTTGCTGTGCTGGACCCCGCGTCCCGTCCCACCCCCACACATACCGTGATGCTCTCTGCTACTCTGCCGTGTACTTGTCCCTCCCTGTCGGTCCCGGTCCCGTCCTGCCCCGCTGGTACGTTCTTGGACCGTTCTCCCGGTCCCGGTCCTTCTCTGCCCCGCCCTGCCGGTCCTGCCCCGCTCCGCCTCGGTCCCGCCCATCCGCTCCGTTCCGCCCCGCCCGTGCGCGTCCCCCAGGCCAATCCGCGCGCGG